GTAAATTTACAGTGCCGTAGACGGCGCGCAGGATCCAGCGCGTGCGCGTGGGGAGGGACAGGGCCCGTTTTTGGCGCAGAAGAGCGCACGTGGCACGGCACGCGTGAAAACGGGTCTCCTTGGGAGATGCTCCCGCCCGTTCTATGACGCATTCCCACCTCCATCTCTCCTCACCCCATTCCAACTGCCCACACCAACGAACAAAGTCCTCCCCGCCTCCTTTAATGAAAACCCTCTCTATCTCCCTCATCTCTCTCTAGCTAGCCCAGGCGTCGCTTCAACGTCGCCGTCTGCTCGCGCGGCATTACTATCCCAATATTCTTCCGCCCTTTCCACCGCACCACGCTTTCCAACACCTCTTCTTTCCCGTCCACTTCTCAAACTAGCTCCATCAACTCTACGCACTCGATAATATCAAAGCCCAGCGCCGCCTCCTCCACATTCCGCGTCTGCGCCACTTTAATAGTCATAACTTCCGAAGCAGCTCCAGTCCCTCGTATATTACACGGAACGGACACGTCGTGTATGTGCTTTTCCCTACAGTCTTCGATGTACCTTGGCTTCCGCCTGCGCTGCGCCGCGGAACTTACTAGCTACGAGGGGATTCCAAGGGTGGGGGGGCGGGGCGAGGAATTGAACTCGCGACCAAAAGAAAAGGGCAGCAGGGGAGTGGTACCGAAGCACACCACCCCTGCGAAGCCCTTTTCTCCGTCGCACCGCCTTTGCATGCGGCGACTACCGACCTTACTGGCGGTCGCCAGTAGTAAATTTCCAGCCCTTTTATACCCGACACCCGACACTTGAACGTGATACCCGACACTTAAACGTGTCCACGTAGAGCTGCAAACGCATAATTCCCCACGGCTCCCCTTAGTGAAGATCCATGCCACCGACCCGTAGTCTTCAGATCCCGCCCCTCCTACTACAGCCCTACAGGTGTGTGGGAGCGTGTTACGCGTGCGGCACAGGCCCGCCCGTGCGCAACGTGCGGTCTCATGTGAAATCCCACCCTCATTAAATTTGTCCAATTTTAACACCAGACGGCGGCGTCGGTGTGGGGAATCAAGCCAGCCTCGCCTGTCCAGCAATGCACATGTCCCCCGGTGAGCTGTAGCCACCCTCCTTTTTTGGCCTAAATTTTCGGGAGGCGGCGAGAGGCGGCGGTGGCGGGGCGACAAGATGTATGTATGTGCTGTAAAGTTACAGTACCGTCGTGTCGTACAGTACACGGGCTGCGTGCGCACTCTGCGCACGTGAGTTGCACAGTTCGGGGGGTTTTTTTCTCGTTAATTTTCACGTGTGGCGGTGGATTGACACTGGGCGAGCGTGCTGAAGTGCACATAGAGGACAGACGATTGGAGAGGAATTTCATTATGATTGCCCCCTCCGATTACTGTGTCGAGGCAACAATTTCCCTTACGCAACCCTCCATGCGTTTCCGAGAGTCGGTATCGACAGAGATGAAGTAGAGGTGAAAAGCTGTTTGTTGTACGGAGAGGCCTTATATGAACCTATTCGCCCCGCGCATATCTGACTGGCTGCCCCAGCTGTTCAACTGGCGTCTTTCAATGTCCTTATGAACAGCCAGTCGTTACTCGCATTTACTGCGTGTATTCCCTGATAGGTACCGAAGAGAAGGAAACTTGGATCGATGGAAAGGGATATGTGGTGGTGGCAGTGGCGAAATCAGAGATCTGGGAATCTTGGCTATTGACAGAAGCAGAAACACGGGAAGTAAAATGGGAGAAATATTCAGGTCAAAAAAATCAAAAATCCGAGCGTCCAAGCGCAACGGGCTGATAGAAAAAGGCCGTGGTCGGGATACAGGTAGAACGCATGGACTACCACTACGTGAGGTTTGGAGCTGATACCGTTTCAACAACATGCGCAACCGGAAATTTGTGACATGCGGGCATGTGTAAAACGTGTCACTACATCTACTCGGAGTGCACTGTACACGACGCCGGGGGTGAGGGCAAACGTCGATCTCCCACCCACCTTATGGCAAGTGCTCACTCGCACCGTCGTAGCACCACTTCCGTCCTCATCGCTTCCTTGTCTCAAGCATCATCGAATCCTTGCATGATGGACTTACTGGAAAGCCGGGCGAGTATTTCTCAGCTCTATCACACTATTAACTCGTTTTGCCTCCAATTTGCCATTCCGCCTCCCACTTTCATCTGTATCGCAGTCGAAACCCGGTCTTTGCAGTCCTTGTAGCGACCTCCTCTCTCCCAAAGACTGCTCGCCATGAGCGCTGCTTTTATGCTGGCCATACCTCCTGTCCCCTCTCTTTAGCCGCCCCCACCATAAAAGGGCACCGCCACTTGGTCAAGCGTCCTCGTCCTAACTAATCCTAGAGCCGCATATGCCGGATTCAAGTCCTGACATTTTGGATTGCGTTCTCACCTTTTTTTTCTCATTGCGAACCAAACTACGAGCGAAAGGGAGATATTATGACTCGTGTGGATGGAATCTTCGTCTCGAACGCTGGGACAGTACTATTTTGCTCTGGGGAACGCATCAGTTTGACTTTTGTGATCACCAGCAAATGTGAGCACTCGCACATCTGCGGCCTGAGGCTGAACGAGAACCTCAATGCGGCCCCCGAGCGGGCAGGGGCTGGTGGGGCAGGTGGAGGCGCGCAAGGCCGCAGAGTGGTCGTTCTCATCATCGAGCAGGGCAGGATCGCGGGCCGCGCCGTCCCCATCGCGGGCCAGCCCGGCACGGGGAAGGCCGCCATCGCCATGGGTATGGCCCAGGCCCTCGCCTCAGAGACGCTCTTCACCAAGATCGCCGTCAGCGAGATCTTCTCGCTCAAGATGTCCAAGACCGAGACCCTCACGCAGGCCCTGGGGAAGAGCATCGGCGTTAGAATTAAGGAGGAAATAGAGCATATTGAAGGCGAGGTTGTGGAGATTCAAATTGATATGCCGCTCCCGAGGTCGTCAGCTGCACGGATGGCGAAGAGTGGCAAGCTTACGTTGAAGAACACGGAGATAGAGAGGGTGTATGACTTGGGTACCAAGATGATTGACTCGTTGCGGAAGGAGACAGTTACAAGTTTTGATGCCATTACTATTGATATGGCAACGGGAAATATATCAAAGCTCAGGCGAGTTGCAGCGACGGAAAGAGGTTCTGCACGTCGTCTCTCTGCACTAAATTGATGTCATCAATTCACGGCAGTAAGGTTTGTTAGCATTATTCGCTGGTGACACTGGTGAGATTAAATCGGGGGTGAGGGAGCAGATCGACGTCAAGGTTGCGGAGAGGAGGGAAGAGGAGAAAGCGAAAATTGTGCAGGGCGTTCTTTTCATTGACGTGGTGCATATGCTTGATATTGACTGCTTTTCCTTAATGAACAGAGCTCTCGAGTCAGACCTCGCCCCAGTCCTTGTGGTGGCGTCGAACCGCGGAATCACTCGTATCAGGGGGACCACATACAAGTCGCCACATGGCATTCCGCTGGACTTGTTGGATAGGTTGCTTATTACTACCAAACCATTCAACGAGAACGACATTCGAAAGATCTTGCAGCTACGCAGCGAAGACGTGGAGATCATAGAGAACGGACTAAACCTTCTCACGTGTATAGATCTGGATACCTCTCTGAGATACGCCATGTATCTAATCACCTCTTCAGGACTCGTTTGGTCGAAAAGAAAGAGGATATAGGTAGACGTGGAGGACATCAAGAGGAAGTACACCTTGTTCTGGGAGAGAGGCACTGGAGAGGGTGTGCTGCTGGGGCAGGTCTACGGCCTAGGAGACGGAGGTGAGACAATGTGGAAGGTGTTGCTGAGGCTGTTGGAGGGGAGCTGCCAGAAAATAGCGCGGAAGGAGGAGTCTGGGGCGTAGGTAGACGGAAGCGGCAAGGACGAGCTGGGCGATCTTCTGGGCTGGGCGGAAATCTCGGATGGACGGGACTACAGGTGTGTTTTGCGGTAAAGTTGTCGCCGACGCCTAGGACCGTTCCGTCACGGAGGACGCGGCGGGAGTTAGAGTTGTACTGGACGTGCCTTTGGCGGCCGTCGGCATTTGAGGAGGGGTGGGCGTCGGAGGGGGAGAAAAGGGCGTTTCGGGGGGCCACGCAGAGGATGGAATT